AAGACAGGCTGGTAGACTATGTTCCCGGTTCTTAATTTACATAAAAAAATCTTTAATCTGGTAAGCCAGTTGAAGTTTCTGAGGTTATTGCACCTGAACATTCAAATCGCAAGTTTGAAAAATCCATGCTTGTGCAGATAAAGAACACCACCTTTTAAAAGTTGTTAATCAATATGACGTCATTAGCACTGGCTGTGCTATATGGAAACTACTAACTGTCAAAAAACAAAAACACTGTTTGTCTTCGCTGTAACATAATTACGTATACTAAACTTTTATGTTGTGAAGGACACCACCTGCTGATTAAATGTGAGTATATATTTGATTTCTTCCCTGATTAGGTTGACTGGAACATGATCTTGTATACGTCCCTTTAGGTACATTTACTGTACTTTGGAGTGTCGAGCACTTTTGTATAGAATTCTACCTGGACAGTAATTAATATGCCATTTAAAGATAAATTCTTTGTCTTTAAATATCGTTTGTAAATTCTTTATTGGTTGTTAAATAACCCTGGTCATGAAATATTTGAATTAGCCGAATGATCAGTATTACATATGTACTTTCTTGGGAAAAAATCTACAACCAACTAAATTGAGCACTGTGAAATCCTTGACATAAGTTGCCTTTTAAACGACTGGGTCGCGGGTTCAAGATCTACGTGGGGCAGTCGCCAGGTACCAGCCGCAGGTCGTTGATTTTTCTTCGGGTACTCCGGCTCTCCTCCGCCACCAAAACCTGGTCCGTCCTTAAATGACCATAGCTGTTTATAAAACGTAAAACACAAACGAACAAAAATCAAACGACTCATTCGCTGAATTATAACTATATTATACATATCTGTATCTTTAGCTTATCATTAGCTGGCCAACATTTAGCAATATAATGAACTGTTAATTAACATTAAAATTGACATTTATATTAATTAATTTTCTCATTGGTAACAAACGAGCATTCCTGCTTATGAAGTCTACGTTTCAAAATTGATTCTAGAGCATGTTCTCGAAGTATCAGGTTATTTTTGATAGCACAGAAGATGTTTTCGCCAAGGTTTCCAACCTTAGTGACTTCAGTCTACGCTGATAAAATAATTGACGTCTTCGTGACCTGATTTATATCTATGAGATGTCATTGGTTACTAAGATCGTTAGTCACCAATCAAGTTTTAGGATTTGATGGAAACATCATAACAGTTTACATTTTTTTTAATATCACAAGAAATTTCCTAAGCGCCCGGTTTTACCTTCACATAATTGTTTAGGATATATTGTCTTTTCTGTTGATTTTGTTGTATTCCCGGTTCCTCTTGATTTTTCGTTTCGACTTCAAAGTTCCGATTATGTCCCTGTATGTGGGACACGGTTTAATACCCGAGCATATGTTTGGTGTTTTTTAAGTGTGTCAAATGAAAACATACATCAAAAACTCAAGTTTAGTTAATGACGTTTGTGAACATGTATAAAAAATGAATGAAAAAATACATAATGATGATACATCTTATTTATACATACATGTACATTGTATGTGAGGAATAATGCTATTTACTGCATCTGTAGACTGTTAAACACAGCTTGTCATAAATACACCCGTACAATGTCAGGTGTGGACATTTTTGGACAACTTTTCATATGAACACCTGTGTAAAATAACATGTATGACTGATGCATACATATTCTTCTGAAAAACTGATGATTTGAAATGTAAAAGGGGGTGAAAGATTCTATTATCTCACTACACCAGAAACGTGGTCAAGGGCCAATGATTATCCAAACAGGTGTTTACTGTCATGGAATTTTGATTATTACTACAGGTGTTTAATGTTGATTACTACAGATGTTTAATGTTTTTTACTACAGGTGTTTATTGTAATGGGCTATTGATTATTACTACATGTGTTTAATGCCATGAACTATTGATTATTACTATAAGTGTTTATTGTCATGGACTGTTGATTACTACTACAGGTGTTTAATTTTATGGACTATTGACTTTTACTACATGTGTTAAATGCCATGGACTATTGATTATTACTATAAGTGTTTATTGTCATGGACTGTTGATTATTACTACATGTGTTTAATGTTATGGACTATTGACTTTTACTACAGGTGTTAAATGCCATGGACTATTGATTATTACTACAGGTGTTTATTGTCATGGACTGTTGATTATTACTACATGTGTTTAATGTTATGGACTATTGACTTTTACTACAGGTGTTTATTGTCATGGACTATTGACTTTTACTACATTTGTTTAATGTCATGGACTATTGATTATTACTACAGGTGTTTATTGTCATGGACTATTGATTATTACTACAGGTGTTTATTGTCATGGACTATTGATTATTACTACAGGTGTTTATTGTCATGGACTATTGATTATTACTACAGGTGTTTATTGTCATGGACTATTGATTATTACTACAGGTGTTTATTGTCATGGACTATTGATTATTACTACAGGTGTTTATTGTCATGGACTATTGATTATTACTACAGGTGTTTATTGTCATGGACTATTGATTATTACTACAGGTGTTTATTGTCATGGACTATTGATTATTACTACAGGTGTTTATTGTCATGGACTATTGATTATTACTACAGGTGTTTATTGTCATGGACTATTGATTATTACTACAGGTGTTTATTGTCATGGACTATTGACTATTACTACAGGTGTTTATTGTCATGGACTATTGACTATTACTACAGGTGTTTATTGTCATGGACTATTGATTATTACTACAGGTGTTTATTGTCATGGACTATTGATTATTACTACAGGTGTTTATTGTCATGGACTATTGACTATTACTACAGGTGTTTATTGTCATGGACTATTGATTATTACTACAGGTGTTTATTGTCATGGACTATTGATTATTACTACAGGTGTTTATTGTCATGGACTATTGACTATTACTACAGGTGTTTATTGTCATGGACTATTGATTATTACTACAGGTGTTTATTGTCATGGACTATTGATTATTACTACAGGTGTTTATTGTCATGGACTATTGAGTATTACTACATGTGTTTATTGTCATGGACTATTGATTATTACTTCATTTGTTTATTGTCATGAACTATTGACTATTACTACATGTGTTTATTGTCATGGACTATTGATTATTACTACAGGTGTTTATTGTCATGGACTATTGACTATTACTACATGTGTTTATTGTCATGGACTATTGATTATTACTACATGTGTTTATTGTCATGGACTATTGAGTATTACTACATGTGTTTATTGTCATGGACTATTGATTATTACTTCATTTGTTTATTGTCATGGACTATTGATTATTACTACATGTGTTTATTGTCATGGACTATTGAGTATTACTACATGTGTTTATTGTCATGGACTATTGATTATTACTTCATTTGTTTATTGTCATGGACTATTGAGTATTACTACATGTGTTTATTGTCATGGACTATTGAGTATTACTACATGTGTTTATTGTCATGGACTATTGATTATTACTTCATTTGTTTATTGTCATGGACTATTGATTATTACTACAGGTGTTTATTGTCATGGACTATTGAGTATTACTACATGTGTTTATTGTCATGGACTATTGATTATTACTTCATTTGTTTATTGTCATGAACTATTGACTATTACTACATGTGTTTATTGTCATGGACTATTGATTATTACTGCATGTGTTTATTGTTATGGACTATTGACTATTACTACAGGTGTTTATTGTCATGGACTATTTACTATTATTACAAGTGTTTATTGTCATGGACTATTGATTATTACTACAGGTGTTTATTGTCATGAACTATTGATTATTACTACAGGTGTTTATTGTCATGGACTATTGACTATTACTACAGGTGTTTATTGCATGGACTATTGATTATTACTACAGGTGTTTATTGTCATGGACTATTGATTATTACTACTGGTGTGTATTGTTATGGACTATTGATTATTACTACAGGTGTTTATTGTCATGGACTATTGATTATTATTACTGGTGTGTAATGTTATGGACTATTGATTATTACTTCATGTGTTTATTGCCATAGATCTTTGATTATTACTACAGTTGTTTATTGTCATGGAACATTGGTTACCCCTACTGGTGTTTTCATGGACAGTTGGTTATAATTATAGGTATTCTTTTCATGGACCAAAGATACATTTTCATTTCAGGTTTTTATTGTGATAGGCCAATAACTAGCACGTTAGGTGTTTATGGTCATGGACTAATGGTTATCACTATATATGTTGATTGTAATGGGCCAATGCATTTCACATTAGGTTTTTATTGTCATGGACCAATGATCACCACTACAGGTGTTTGTTGCCATCGCCCAATGATCTTCACTACAGGTGTTAATGGACCAATGATCACCTCACAGGTGTTAATTATCATGGACCAATAATCACCACTACATGTGTCTATTGTCATGGACCAATGATCACTACAGGTGTTTATTGTCATGAACCAATGATCACCACTACATGTGCCTATTGTCATGGACCAAGGGTTATCATTAAAGGTGTTGAATGTCACAGACCAATGATTTTCATTTCAGGTGTCTATTGTCTTGGTTAAATGACTATCACTTCAGGTGTTTATTGCCATGGTCCAATGACTATCACTTCAGGTGTGTTTTTTATGGACCAATTGTTATTGTAACAACTGTCCATTATAATTACTACATGTATAAAATATTACATTGTAGTATAACGCATTTCATACAACAACGTACATTGTACCAGACCGTATATACGCCTAGATATATGGATACCCAAGTCGTTACGGTTTTATGATTATAAGTACATGTAGTCCATTCGCTACGAACTCTACACTGAGAAGGGATAATTGTATCCAGTACAAAAGACAACGACCAATGACAGTTTCAACAATAACATCAGGAGCGTGTTAGCGCGTGCCTATTTTACACAACTGTAAGTTTGTTTGGCGGAAGTGGAAAAATACATCCGTCAATATATGGACTGAATATCAAACGAGACAAGTACTTTAAGTCATCAATCAGACGTAAAAGGTACATATAAAGACGATTGATTGGCCAATGTTGTGACTAGGGGAGTGTTCGAGGCATGGACACACGAGTAGGTAACAGTGATTGCCGGGGACCCGGGACTGGCAGGGCAGAGCTTACCCGCTGTGTGTAGTACCACCACCCACTCGTGACGGGGCGGTCTGGGGACAGGATGCGGCCGGGGTACATAAGTTCCCTGCATCATGTCGCTGTGGTACATATGTATACTATTACCACCGGTGGAGACGAGTGTGCACTCCCGTAGCTGTGATAGGCAGGCAGCGTTAATCTACACACAGCGAGGAAAGGTGGGCCGCCCGTCTGTTCAGACCAATGGTAGTTTAGTTAGTATGCCACTTTCGAGTGCGCGCTTTCACTCGCCAGCAGCTGCTTGTAACTTTTAACGTCAACCATCTGGTCGGCCTTCAAAAATAAGAAGTATTCGAGATGGAATAGTTTCGTCCAAAACATACGTACACCACCAGTAGATAGATGGTTATATATGTATATACACACTGATATACCAGTATAATTCTTACAGGATTACCATGTGTCTTGATGGAAGTTTGGCATGATGGCATTATGTTACCATCTTAAAAGATCTGTAATTTCATTGTGATATTTTTTGTTTCGGTATCGACAGCAAAAAAATAGAATGATAATAAAATCAATGCGGAATTAAGTGTCGTCTGATCATGTGATTTATAGCACCAGTATTTCAGATTGATGGTAACGGATTGCTGTTGTTATCAAGTTTTTTTTCTGTTTTCCTTTGTGCAAGGAGTGGACAAAATGTACTTAGTCTTACTATGGGCGACAGACCGACGTCAATGTTGCTCTTCGTAGTGCTGGTGTTTGTCGCTATCGTGCAGTCCTTGCCCCTGTCCGACAAACTGTATGGGACCCACAATGACCACGGCAATCCGACAAACGCGGGGTCAACGAGCAAGGATACCCCCGATAAATACCCACCATCACCACCACCATCACATACACATCAGGAATTTGATGACAAAGACACAAAACGGTACCCAAGTACTGGAGACCAAACCGTGGTAGAAGAGGTCCAGCAACAAGCAAAAGTCAATATTTCTCTGGACGGAAGTTTACGTAGTGATTATGAAAAGTCTAACGATACAACTTTGGGCGATATTTCGGATATGTCGGAACACTCTCGTCACAGACGCTCTGGAAATCCGTTTCAAAACAGTCACGTGATTCCGTGTAGTTATTCTGACAGACATTACTGTCTCAACGCTGGCACGTGCGTTCTGGTGGCCGCGCTGGACATCAAAACATGCAGGTAAATACTTATTATTGTACTTATGTCCTTAAGAAAGAATGAACTTACTGTCAAAATAAAATTATTGATCTTGGATTCTTGATATCAGTAAATCCCATTTGATGTAGCTTTCGTTATAAGGGACCACACAACAAACAGGTAAAATGACATTGATGAGTCTCGATATCATAAGTAATGAACTGTGAATATATTAAGTATCATACTTTTGAGTGACAAAATATGCATGTGAAAATTGCGTTCTCGCCCCGTTTGTATAGAAATACCAACCTCTTCACTGTTTTTAAAATAATTTCAACTACATTTTGTACAATAAAGTATTTAAAAAGTTGTTCCCTCCGTCTAGACAAACCTTATTGTTTGTGTTTATGTAGCAAACAATACACATGGTTTGCAAATATGAATAAAATAATGATTCATTCTATAATTCTGTCGGATTCCAACCGTTCTGTATGAAATATAAATACAAAAATAAATGCAAATACTTTTGATTGTTTGATCTAACGTGCAATTAAAATAATGGATACTTGGAAAAATCTCTGTTATTGAATTAAACATCTAGACAATAGAGACCCCCTGTCACGTGTCATCTTGTGTACATTATCGTCATAGATCATATTCTTATGTAAACTGTTGGGAATTACTAGGGTTTTCATGCAATACCATAAGTTGGTTTGTAAGTGACACTTTAATGGCGGTCTATACAGGGATACTGATGGGATGACGATGAGATCATCAGCTGGTAGACGCTCTATTGCTGATACTGCTCTTATTAAGGGATGATGTGTTAAATGCCGGTTCTAAACGACAAAATTTGCTCCATTATACAATATCTGTAAAACTCTTTTCATACATACTATGTAAAACGGACTTTTCTATATAATATTAACGCAAATTGAAAGTAAAATCAAACATTGTATGACTGACCTTTCAACCGATATGATTTTGAACCTGCCTGTTATGTATCATGAAAATATGAGTTAAATATCAATATATGTCATGGTCCTCATTATGTATACATCGCACAAAGCATTGTCATTAACAACTTATATATTACTTTATGCATAGCGTCTTAGATCCATGACCCTGAACACATTATCTTTGATAAAACCCATTAATTGTCGCTATGTTCTGCATGCACCATTTATGAATGTTTACTTTTATGATAAAATGATATTACAGGGATATCTATATGTCCAATTACAATATAATAGTCATCATTGCATGTAACAGGAAGAAACGCCAAACAAATGTATATCTCTAGCAAGTCGTTTATGATGAAGTTTATGAGCAAGTTAATATATATGTTCCGTTCGTTAGGGAAAGGGTTTGACCATTTAATGAATTTTGTCTTTCTCCTATGAATCTCGTCAGATATTTCAGGAATATACTGCGAAAGTCAATTACAAAACTTGACGTGCCAATAAACAATGCTCCACAATTCATATTTTATTGTATGTGCTACCAATCCACTAAGTCGGTATAGTGGTAACAGGTTGGTGAGGTGGAATTTTATGTAAAGACAGAACCGATGTCAGAAATGAAAATCTAGTGGAATCGTCTGTTTTTAAGGAGACCTGCATATTGATAATGTCATTAAACTTCTTTTTTAAATATCTTCGTATGGTTTCCTTCCAATTCCTCAACCGAATTATGCTTTTTGTCTTTATGTCTTGTTGTCTTGCGGTTTTGGTGTCTTCTATTCTCATTTTTCTTTTCGTATCGTGGTGTTTTTTTCGAACTCATTGGTTGAAAAGAGATGTTTGCTTTTAAATTGTTTTCTATAATAATAATAGTGGCATAATCTGTCGTTTTTGTATTTATCATTTATAATAGTGAATAGTATATACATAGGGTGTCCTATTAAACGGAGAAGATTGATCAGAACTGTTTAAACAACATTAGTCCCCTTACAACCTATGCAACAACCCTGATAATGATATATTTAACTGTTGTCCAGATGCATTAGTAGCCATAATTCAACTTACTGCCGTTTGAAATTTTAATTAGACATGTATTCATTTCGATTATTAATTTTTTGATCAGAAGAAATTCAATGAAATAGTGTAAAAACAACAGTACATTTAGGTATTCTACAAATATGTTTTAGGAGTGGCAATATACACAATGTATATGAAGGGAAAGAGAATTAAGTGTTACATGGTGTATCATGGAGGTCGTAAACATTGACATACAAAGCCGACATATGTTCTAATGTTCAGCGGTATGTAATTTTTACCAAAAGATATCATTGGCAAATTGCCAAAAACTAATTAGCTAATATAAAGAAACAAACGAGTCGTCTTGTTACCGAAAAGTATAATGATTCATAACATTGCTTCTTATGCTTATATATGTATTGCCATGCCGTCTATACTATTATCTGTTTGCTATTTTCATCTAGTAATTGATCTAGCATAGCCAACAAATGATACTAAAGATGATGTATGTATACAATATATATCCATAAACATTTATTTATACACGTTTACAATCTAACTGCCATGTGAATCCCACAATAACTGCCATGTGTTTACCCTATGACGAGACTCTTCTGCCAACTACCTTTTATTGTCTTCTACAGAACCATTAATAGCGAACTGGGATTTTCCAGTAAAACTTGATAGCAAATGTTTTCGTCTGATCACGACCATATGTTAGTTTACTTTTTAGTTACCTAGGATGTAGTTTTAATATTTTTGAGTTAATTATAGCCAAACTAATAAAAAAAGCGACGGGTGGTTATGTTATTATAACGACATGGAACAATAAAATCAAATTCATGAGATCAAGAGTGACGCCATATAGCGTTAATGATTTATTGTAAGGGTCTGCAGCCGTACCAAGATATCCTGGCGTATTACAATATTTGTTAAAATGTTTTCCTGTATTTAATGCCCAAACATTTATCAATATATATACATATTTATCCTTCAAAATGCAGTTAGTGAGTCCTTTTGAATGCATCTTTGCAAGACAGGTGATGATACTAGTTCATTGCTTGTGGACGCTAAAGAACCCTACTACATTGTATCTCAAGTTTTGAATTTCGATACAAATGGTTATTTGTTGTAAGAACACGTGCGTGCTGATCTTCAAACCAACGATTTACTTGCTTAAACATGTGTATGTGTTTTCAGTGTATAATTATTTCGCAATGAAACCAATAAAATAACGCAATCCGAAGCGATTTCCTGAAATTGCCGGTATGTGCTCAAATGGTTTCCGTTACCCAGGTAGAACACAGTGATTTTGCATATAGAGGAAAGTCTATTAAGCCTCGACCAGAACTATCGTTCAACCTTGTTAATTGCCAATCAATCTGCCAGTGTTACGGGACACTTAATTGACGTGGTGTCGCATGTCCTGGAAACATGTCATTAGGAGCCTGGTATGTCGTACGTTCTCTATTCAGTGATGGCTGTGTATCGATCGTCGGATTATGTACCCATGCATGTCCAACGGACGTATTGGAAACATCATGTGAAGTAGCTTTGAAAATTGACAGCTGTTGTGTAGTAACATGCAGACTATTGTTTTGCCATTTTGAATGAATGATAATAAAAATAACAAAATTGAAAGTCAAATAACTTTTTGTTCGGGGGTTTTACGTCCTCACTCATAGCATCTAAGATAATAAAAATTAAAAACATGGGTCTCTAGAGAGACAGAATATAAAAGGACAGTAGATCAAATTTGATTTCTTCAGCGTGCAAATTAGTAGAAGCCACAGAAGCAAAACCTCGACTCTGCAAGGTGGCCCATATAAGCCTCCTTCTGCGACTACATGTTGTGGAATACTGCAGGTTCCGCATTAGCCACCTCGTGCTCCATGCTGTGAGACACAGAATGTCTATTTTTTCTTGTTTTACCCTATGACGAGACTCTAATAAAAGATACTGGTAAACGGAAATAATAAATGTATGACTTAAAATAATTCAAATCGCATGTGATGCTCTAAGCAACACTGCAAATTTGAGCACTTAGTATTGGTCAGAATCGATATTTGTACCTGCAGATTTTAAAGAAATAGTTTCTCGGTTTGGCGTATTATAGCATTTAGTAATGAACAAGTGTGTGAACGAAGGATCGCCCAACGGTTCCACAATTTAACGTCAAGTAGAGATAACACAGCAGGTTGCTACATCTATAGAATCTATACATTTACAGTACACACTATCATACTGAGTTCTGAACGTTCGCAAGAGCCCTGTTGCGACCGACCCATGTATACAAATTAATTTCTGCTATATATTTGTACTCTTATCAATGTCACTTTAAGCTTCTAGTTGCTTTGTTGCTGCAAAATATGCAATACCCGTCGTAATTTGTTTTCGCTGCATTTTTATCATTTCGTTCATACACATTATCTTGGTATGACATACTGTTCGTGTGGACCTGAGTCATGCATAACTGCGGTTTCAGTGGAACCTTGTAGGCAGTAGTATGAAGTGATATTAGTAGTGAATTACTTTTGTGTTTCATTAAGCTTTTCTGGTTAGACCAAATATTTCTTTTTTATCTTATGTTCACATAATACTTTTTGTTGTTTGTTATCCTATCCAGTGTGTTGAACTGTTTAGGTTGTTTACAAAAGATTGACACTTGAAGTATGTTACTGACACTATACGATACACAAAGGGTAAGCTCTGTGGAAGTGACCCTCCGGATGTTTTGTATCCGGTGTGACTGTATGCCATCTTCTGTTATGAGGTTAGGTTGCTTTTCGTATCAGCCGGTAAAATTGTGCTGTGAGAGTGAAGTATTTTCCGTAATAACGTGCCTACGGTGGTATTTACGAGAGCATGCAAAGAGGATACACGTGCTCGTTATATACAGTTTGTACTTTATCTTCTTGTACGTGAAAACCCACATGTGGACTGACGAAAATCCCGATGAAGGAGCAGTGAATGTGTGTTTATGTGTGTGTAAAGGGGGAAGTGCATACTACATTTAGTCAGTAATGTTGATTAAGTATAAAGTAAGAACAACAGTAGGTGTTT